TAGAGACTAGCAGTTTCTTTGTCAACCCTGAAAAGCCCTTTTGTTCAAAATGTCATTGTAAAATTTAGGCGATTAGGTTAATAGGTCACAGACACATTTATATGAACTGATTGACTTACTTACTGACCGACTGACTGACTGACTGACTGACTGATTCACCTAAATTTTGGAAACAACAACAACAAGTAATCAAAGTAATCTAATCACACTTAAGATTTTAGAAAATATGCCACAGTCAAGATTTTACGGCTACATGAAATGAATGTTATACGAGTTAATTTGCTAATTAATTAACTCAGTGAGAAATAATAATGATAATAATTTCAGTCAAGTTGTCTATCCATTTCATGACAGCTTAGATAAGGATGGGGTAAAGAAAGAGAGAGAGAGAGAGACAGTTAGTGTCAAGCACAGTGTCGAAGTAGGCGAGGCGGCTTATCATCATCATCACCAAGAAGGCCGCTATCGTTGCTTCACTTTCCATCATCGTGACATGTAATGGGCCTTCCAAATTCTTTGTTCACTTCAAGGAAATTGGGTTTCGCGAGAATTAATCCAGTGGGTTAGTAAGATTAGTCCTCACATTCTATTCCCATATATGTATATGTATATATAATAACATATTTAGATGATGATGATGATGATGATGATGGGGACGATAATATTTAGTCATTGTCATCGTGTCAAGCAAGAATGTCTAGTAAATCATGTCCACACAGACTATTGCACCAGTCATTATCTAATAATCACGCATACACTTTTAGTGAAATAATGAAGATGCAGGCACATATTGAGTTTTGTTAGACCTCATGTATGAAGAAGAATTATTTACTAATCGATGAAAGGAATGTCTTTTTCATTTAGTAACGAAAGCCTCATAAATCCTCGAAATACCAGAATGGATTACTAGTATTAACAGAAATCGTATCTTGTTCAGCATTCTTCCCACTTCTCGAACGCTCGCGCTAATTACCAATCGAAATCATACAACACTTTCATTGTGGTTTATCTACTAGTTTTGTATACATATATATGTACAACTCTCCATTTCACGGAAGAGCGAATTGGTTAGCCAGGATTCTGAGATCCTTGCACAAAGAAATCGTCAGATATACAATTAGTGGAGTCTTCGACTTTATATCTAAAATATCCGAGACAAATGTGAGCGATAAACGCATGTTATCCATGCATGTAACAGCACTATTCACGAGTGTACCACTTATGGAAAGAGTAGATTACATTTGTCAAGAAGTCACCGAAAGTCAATTGGACTTAGCAATTTCCTTGTGTAGTCTCAAAGAATTACTCCTTAGATGCACAATCAATGTACACTTTGTCTTCAATAATTCATACTTCCAACAAGTAGATGGAATACCTACGGGTGGTTCACCATTACGCCCAATATTAGCTGACTTCTCTCCCCCAAAACTTGAAAACAGGAAATTGAAAGACATCATCAAAGAGTTTGATATGTATTACCCTTATGTCAATGATACATTCATCTTAGCCGATGGGAATGTAAACATAGACGATTGGTTGGTGAAATTCAACAATGTCCACCCTTCGCTTACTTTTACTTATGAAGAGGAGCAGGATAATAAACCACATTTTCGGGATGTCTTGCTAAGCAGGCGAGAAGATGGGTCACTTGGGAGAAGAGTGTATAGAAAAAGCACATTCATACGGGCAATACACACACTTCCTCAGTTACCTGCCAATTAGATAGATATAAAAGAAATATTCTTCAGTGTCTTACGAACAGAGCAAGAAAGATATGTTTATTCACGATTCCTTGACGGAGATGGAATGGGCTATCCGAGTACAGGAGTACACGAGAAACGTTTTACGCAGCATACCACCTATGTTTGTCATTCTCTAGCTGACGAATCATTGGGACGCACACCAAGTATAATATAAGCTAGATAGATTTCCCACATCTCTGTGCATCTATCAATTCAGCTGGACCTCTGGTGACAGTTATGTTATATTCATAGTAGTACTACTTGACCGCTTAGCTCTGGTGATTGACAATTTCTATCTCTGTATTGTTTAAATACTTACTGTTGGTTGTTAATATGTTTCTTATATGAATTGATAATAATTCCGCTAAACACAAATTCCTGAATTCCGCCCTCTCTGTGTGTTTGTTGGATTCTTGTAATTCGGTCATGTCGAAATACTAATACTATGATTACAAATAATTACAACAAATTGGCGTCGCGATGGAACTATGTAACCTTGTGAAATTTCCTATAAATGGTTCTCTGCGGGAGATCGCTGATTACCTTGAATGCTTCGATGCGTGGTGCATTTCAAAGAATGTTCGCGATCACAAAATACCAGCACATTTCATCACTGCTATTGGGCTAGATGCATATAGCCTAGTAAAGAATCTGGCGTTTCCAGATATACCCATTTCTCTGTCATATGTCAAGATTCGTGAACTTCTGATAAACCACTTTCATGTAACTACATTTGAGACCAGAGAGAGGGCTCAATTCAATAAACTGGTTCGTGCTCCCAACCAGAAGATTAGAGACTTCATTCTGCAACTTCAAATACAAGCTTCAAAGTGTAACTTTGGAGATGAGCTGCATACTCAACTACGTGATCGTGTAATTGCTGGAATCAATATTCCTAAGTTAGAGAAAGAGTTAATTCAGATTCCTTCTTGTACCTTTCAAACTGCTAAAGATTTATCTATTACATATGAAGATGTCAATAATGAATACTCTGCTCCCACTACGTCAGTATCTGATGTCATGTTGTCCAAAGTCGAAAATACAAGTGGTCATGGGAAGCAATCCAAATTGTCGTCCACAGGTAATAGAATGCAGCGAGAGATCAAAAACATTAAACCGTGTTTATCCTGTGGAAAGTTACATCTACGAAGCACTTGCCGTTTTCGGGGTGCTAAGTGCCATAAATTTGGTAAAGTTGGACACATCAAGACTGTTTGCAGAAGTTCGAATACTTATGTTACTCAGCATTCTCATAATTCTCCCAATCTGTCTAGTAAAATCGAGTCAATATGTCTTTCAACTTTTCAAAATACTCAAGCTCCTCCAATGAAAACCTCCACTACAAGTTCAGCAACTCAAGCGTCAACTGTTTTCAAAAATGTGGTAGCCGAGTTACAATGCGAACTGTCGAAAACACGAGAAAAACTGAATGAGATGAGAGAGCAACTGATTAAAATGGAGGAATTGTTGCATATGCATAGACTGCGTCTGTTGAATGCAGAGCATACAAGTACCCGTGAAAGTCCAGCAAAACTTTTCGAATCTCGAATTCTCAAAAAGCATCTGATGTCCACGACTTCTAATGTACATTATTACAAAGGGAATGATTATAGACCTTCTATTGGTATCATACTACAAAGAATGGGAAATCGAGTGGTGAAGATATTAGACATCAAAGATCACTCAGTTCATAACGGACACCTGAACAAAGTGACAATAAATGAAGTAGGTCGTTCCAATTATAATATTAGTAATTCCGCTACTAATCCTGATTTTGTAGATAATTCAGAAATAAGTCCAGATAACAGTGATGAAGATAATATCACGGAATCAGTTAGGTCGCAGCTACTTGCAAGAAAACCGAGACATCGTTATAAATACGCAAGGAGATATTCGACATGTGGCGGATGTGGTGATTGACAATTTCTATCTCTGTATTGTTTAAATACTTACTGTTGGTTGTTAATATGTTTCTTATATGAATTGCATAATAATTCCGCTAAATACAATTCTTAATACAAATTCCTGAATTCCGCCCTCTCTTTGTTTTTGTTGGATTCTTGTAATTCGGTCATCTCGAAATACTAATACTACGATTACATTAGCCAATGTGTCACTATTGAACATCTCCCATCATCGTGGTTTGGCGAAGGACACACAGAAACAATCTGTAGCTCAATTTTGTCACATTTACTTGATATTGGTCGTGTAGTAGTGGAGAAAACGACAGCTTCCAAAGTAATTCATCGTATCCCACCGAATCTTTCCAATAGATCTCGTATTCGCCTACTGCACACAGGCTGAGGCAGGCGATAGCCATTCGAACTAAACTTTGGACCTAAACTATGCCTTCATTCAAAAGAAGTTCGTACAGCCACTATACCTCCCTTGGCCTGTTGACACTTAACCAACTGATAACTTCTCTACCACCCCTTACTTAGATTTTCAAACCCTCTCTTATCATCCACCCTTAATCTTACCACATCTTCATTGAACCGTATTTTATTTACTTCCCCTACAATCTAGCTAGCACTCACTACTCAATCCCTTCAGTCGCTTTCCTTAGACTTTATCGACTACTATGTCTACCTGAACATTTGTTTCTTTAATCATGATGCTTTTCGTTATTCGTGCTATCACAGATCGCCTCAATTTTTCATCCTTATTATTATTATTGATAGAACCATTATCACTCACTCTTATGACTAATGGCACAGTTTGTATTCGCTGCCTTATTATCCTATATCCTATAGAAAAAACACCGTGATGAGTTTATATTTGAATTTCTGTTTGTAAAGTTATGTAGGTGTATATTAGAGTTAAGCCTGATGAGATCTAATTGAAAACAACAATATTATTCGCTTAAATGTGTTGTTGTAAATTTTACCATTGGAATAGTTATCATTTGCTGGTTGCCTGTGCAATATCATTATATGAGAAATAAAGAGGAGAACTATGCACACATTTATTCGAGGTTCGATGTGAAACGCATTTAGAGTGAAATCACTATCTTCTACTGTCATTAGCCTAACACTCACAACGCAGTCAAAAATCACGAATTTCGAGGTTCACCTTCCTTAGGGTACAAGTCAGTCTACCAGCTAATAACAGTCTCCAAGTGGAATCATTTCACACATCTTCCTTTCATCGCTCCAACATCGAAGTATCCGAATCACCTACAAAATCACTCCCACTGACTTCTTCTCTATTTCAACAATCAACTCTCACAACTCATAACACTATAAACACAAGACAATATTCCATGGCAATTGCAATCGCTTTATTGACACACAATTATACATATATCTCTCATCAGACTGGGATACATGTGAAGAAGAAGAAGAAGAAAAGGGCGAAGACAAAGAAGCGGAAGTGTCATGAAACATCCGTTGATAAACGGCCATTCTAACGTCAACACTGTCTATCTGATCTGATGAGTGCTCGACGGTTTCGAATGATGAACAGGAAGACATCGAAGGAATGAAATAGTACATAGAATGTGATGTATCTTTGGATGAGTTGGGCTTGATGACTTGTCACTTTTACAAAATTATTCTGTAGAAGGCTTCCCACGAAGCCCTGATACTTTCGCTTCAGCGCTGAAATAATAAAAGATTACAATGCTATTTAGTATATAATAAAACATTAAATTCATATAAAGCGGATAATACAAAGTGTAGAGATCATCAAACTATGTCGGTTATCTTGCTTCGATATGTTAGATTTCAGTGGTCCAATACACTGAATCTTATTAATGTATGCAGGTATCCTTGTGCTAATCACCTATTATCCTTACATTATGTGAAAACAGTTAGTGAATTACATATAAAGCACTTTCTCCTGCTACGCTGTCAACTTATCGAAAATGTCCTCCAATGATTATAATGTTAAATAAGTAAGTACAAACTGCTAACAATAGTAGTATTAATAATAATAATGATGTTTGTTGTAGGACTAGTCCTCTTTTATTTCACTGAAATATTATCATGTAAAATGACTAAGCAAGAAAATTCCAAATCAATCGATTCGTTCAGTATCAGACTGATAAATACCATTCTTCAAATAAAAGACATATTTCCCGTTAGATTATACAAGGTGATTGACAGACTGATGAAGTTATCAGACTCATTAAGCTTGACAAAGCAGGTAGTAGTATATAACTCAGGGCAGACTGATGAAACAAAAAGAACAAAGAACACTTTCGGTGAGATTTTTACACTTACAATTTAAGCATACTGAAGATTTTCTCCTTAGTTGTTTGGAATGCCGCATCAAACTGGGGCTAAACAAGAGAAATTATTAAGTTCATTTCAAATTACCATGAATATATATATATATATATATATATATATATGTATACATATATATCGTATGAATGCACCATTACACAGATGGTGGGGATGTGGTTCAGTGGGTTAAGCATTTCATTTCTAGTTATTGGCTCACGGATTAGAGTCCTGCATAACTCACTGGGTACCATCATCAACCTGCTAAATGAAAAATCTATCCCGTATATTTCAGCTTAAACAAACAAACCGACAAATCAATATACCCACCTGAAATTATCAGATACATGCATTACACGACAAGCTCAACACTCAAGCAATAATATTTCAGGCTCTCGACCACTACCTACAACCGCACTCGGAATTCAGTCTTACTCTTATATCACAAATGTAGAAATATTAAATAAAACCAATTCATCGGGAACAAAACTATCAGTTACTACCAGTAACTCATCGGAGAAGACTTTTCGAATCGGTCGCGCTATGTCATGAATTGGCAGAAGTTAGGATTTAAGGATGACTGGGTCGGGTCCCAGTGGCTTAATGGTCTACGAGATCGCTCGCCTTGTAACCAGGAGATCCTGAGTTCGGAACCCGGTGGGTTCGTGCTGATGAGCGGTCCCGAACTACGACGAAACAACTGTCCAGTACTCCTAGGTTTTCCAATGGTTCTCTTACTGATTTCATGCTCAAGATGAAATCCCCCAACCAATCAAGCGAAATCCCTACAAAGATCAATACTTGAAAATAAAAAAAGTAATTGAATTAAATCAAATTACGTAAGTATTGTCTTGTGTTGTATTGCCTAAAGGGAAGCAAACGTTTCTTACCTTGCATAATAAATATATTTTAGGACAAGTCATCCCGAGAACAAATGCTGAAAAACAAAATTATCATTACAGAAACATTACCACGAAGTTACTCTATAGAATACTGAGGCAACTACCACATAGTCTACAGCATAATATCATTACGAGAATCACTATAACTAATTGTAAAACAAACATACTAAAATAAAGTCCGGTATCAAGCGATAAAGTGATTGATACTTATGCAGTCAGTCAGCAGTTCTCTGTGAAACTGACTAACTAACTAACTGATGGCCAGAAGTAAAGCAGATCAAAAATGTTAAGAAACCGCAATGACTGAGGTTTACCTACTGATGAATAGTAGTGAATGTTGTATTTTAAACTAAACTGAGCAAAACATTTTGTAATGTCGACGATAAAGTTGTCGGCTTCTTCTTTGAGGGATATTGAAGTGTCTCTATTCCTCCACGCTCTTCGTTTCTCTCATAACTTACCTTCTGAATAACGCTTAAGTTAGTTACTGTACTACATTGCACTGCACTCGGTGAAGTTTGTTCTCAAGAAAGTGAAAGGGCGGATTTCATGAAATTATGAACAGACCGATTGACATGGTGACTACGTGGAGAAAAACCTTACTCGAAACCTATGGTGAACATGATTCCCTGGATTCGAATGCATGACAAGAATGGCGTTTTGGTTAATGGAAACCATGTCAGACGCCTGGACATTGATCCATTAAGGCAGATCATGTAACAACAATCAACGGAAAACTTTACCCATATTAGCACTCACTAATTACTTCATCAATCGTATATTCAAACTAATCATCATCCATCATGGCATTCCTACATATATATATATATATAAATATATATACATATGAAGCGGTGGTTGAATTCACACACGAAATAACACTAGACTTACCTATAGTTATCAGGGTAAGCAAATTAAACCAAGCACCTACTACGGAAAGTAGGTATAAACACACAACCAACTGGAAAGTAGTAATGATAAACAGAGAAAAGTAGGAAAATTTGCAAGTTAACATAATTGAAATGAATAAGACAATGTAGATAAGGTATTTCTTGACAATAGGGAAGATGACAAATAACCTTTTTGTAAGTAGAAAAGTTTTTGTCATCAGTTAAAAGCAGTTACTCAAAACTCAAATACCCGGTATCTAGATGTGAGTGACGCTTATCCGGTGAGAGTTAGTCATATTACTCAATTGTTGAAGCTGATGTAGGTGAGAAACTTTTTTTTTAACAAACATATTCTGCATTTAATAGCTGGCTGACACACCAATGCATCAAACAAATTGCTTCATAAGAAGCTCTAGGCAATTACATCTTATCAGATGGTAAAAAGGCAATCCTGTCAACTCTTTTGAAACTGGAGATATTGTAACAGAGTTAACAGATGAATGTATAATTAGGTCAGATTTTGGTCAACTCCCTTAAATTACTAAAGGAAAAGTGGTAATAATTGGTAATTACTGAAGTACTGTTGTGACATTTACCTTTACAGTCTCAAAGTAATCTTCCAACCACAATACGCGACGTAAATAATTCAACTTTTCGGACAATTTTTCACACAAGGCTGCGACACGCTCGCCAATTTTTTCTCCAGGTAAAGTCATCTCCAATTCAAGCCAAAATCTAAAAGAGCACATAATGCAGAGAAAAAAACTGTCACAGACAGATAGAAAAACTACAATGTGAGGCAATGTAATAAATTACTGGGATTTTCTTAATGGTAGGCAATATTACATCGCCTACTGTATTATACATTTCGCAGAAGAACAAAATGACAGGTACGCAAATATACATTCACATCCTCTTACTTCTAATATAACAGCAATCATCGTAAGTAGATTTTGTACTAAGTGAAATCGAATGTTACACACTGATCGTATATATCTACTAATTCGAATCAACGAATTCTATTTTGATACATTTAGCCCTCCACTCTTTGCAACGGACTTATGTACCAAACTGTAAGCCACATACTGTGTGACAACCAGTAAGTAATACAATCGAGCTGTCTAGGCTTTAATAAATACAACGAGATTCCTATCCGGGACCCATTGACTGAAAGTTGAGTGCACAAGCCAACGATACTATACAATCATTTGTCTACCGAAGATATCTCAACTTCAAATGCTAAGAGGTATAACACTTCTCTGGTGGACTTCTTTTTTCGCTAGAAATTAAAGCCTTTATTTTTAAACTCAATGAATGAAAACATTGTATCTGATCAACTATGAAGGGACTTATTTGATTTCTCCTTATATGCTTGAGCTAGAAAACGTGAGATGTGAGTTACTAGTAATGAAACAACTTCATTTAGTACAATAGTAGTGTTGAATAGGCTGGGATGTATTGTCGCTTACACACTTGCATAGGTAATAATCTTCCGACAGAAATAATTGGACAACCAGAGATAAACGAGATAAAATTTCATCAGAATCAAACTTACTCAAATGGGTTTTTCGGTGAATCCTGATTTGATTTGAATTGACGCGTAATAAAACCATAAAGCTTGCAAGCCGTCGTGCAGCACATTATCGCAATTCCGATGTAGGCGATAAAAGAGACCAGGGACATGGATGACAGACTTAAGAGTAATGTCAGCCCAACGGCTGCAACAATACCCGACTTCATGGGCTCATGCCAATAAACAATTTCTCTAACTAAATTAAATAAGAATTACCGAAATCATTGCGAGTGGGAACGAAATTTTACTCACAGTATATACATACATACGTCAGGACTGTAAAAACCAATTTCTACAAAACTGAATGAATAGACCTACTCAAGTCGTATCAGAAGAAAATAGAACAAATGTAGTAGTGAGTAGAAATGGCGAGATCTAGAACAAAATATGAAGCAGATGTTAACACCCTATTGCCTTTCTCTTTAGATTACGCTGCTCGATAAGTTTAGTATTATGCTGAGATTACATCACACACTGAACGGTCTTTATGTACTGTGGTGTCATGCAGTAATTTTCACACCGGAGACCAGTTAACAAACTAATTCATACGAAATTAACTAAAACCCAGCAGTCATTTAGGCACGATGGAAACACTTGTTTCTACCACACAATCTTACGACAAATAGTCATGAATCCACAGGGTAATATTTTCTCACTCGAAGAAAATCATGGGAGTTTCCCTTTTTGACGCTCCCATGATAAATACTCGGGCAGATGAATAATACCATAATAATAATACCAGCATTTGGACAGAGAATGAAGTTTTCTGAACAATCACACTGGATATGTCCAGGAACAACCTACCTAAATCTAAAAATCCTGGGATTTACAATAGTCACAGAAACGTGACAGGATAAAATGAGAGATTTCAGAAGGCGCATGACTCCCATAACGACTATGAGAAGAAATCTTTCGTTGATCAGTTACAGTAATGAGAACACTGTAGCCCTTAGTACTGACTGTGTCAAGCGAACAAAGTTACATTTTGATCCCCTCATTCAATTTCACAAACTTATGAGAACCGGAAACAGACAAGAAGGAAACACGAATATGACTATCTTTAAATGAAAGTGAAAACGTATAGGTAACCCACCGAAATCCATTGAGGTTCTGCGGTTTATATCACACCAACAACTGTAATGGAATTCACAGAGGCCACCGCAATCTAGAAAAAGAAATAATTATTAGTAGTAGATGCTTTTAGTGAATTTGTAACTCAAATATAGGGTATCTGACATATATATATATATGTTCATATATGAACAGTGATGCTACATGACAAAGGACCACTTAAAATTAATATTGTGAAGTCATCACTTATACACTTGGATATATGACACTGATGTAGAGTTCAAGACCTTCACCAATAAATGCTTGCTTATATGTAGACTAATTATCAATTAGTTCTGAGAGACTTTTTAGTCACCTCGAAAAACGATGAATACACGCTAAACTACTCACCTATGCTACGACAAAGAGAAGACCAACACAAATAATCGAACTGCAGTTAGGACCACGCCGCCACACACCAAACGCTCGAATGAAAGAGTCCTTCGAAAACCCTAATCTCGTGGGCCCGCGGAAGAGATAAACAAGCAAATGTTGGCTGGACTTATCCGGCATATTGGTTGAAATTTCACACAGTAAATCTTTTTTGTCGAAAATATTTAGTAAAATATCGTTGTATGTTTTTGGAATGATAGGAATCCTCATTTCCTGGCTAGTTATGTTGGTGTCCGCGTCATGTGATGTGCTGCGACACACTCTCAGCATATTGGTTACAATAATTAGTGTTTCAGGTGGACTGTGTCGAAATATCACTGTAATGAGGAAGATGGGATAGCTAGAGGGTAATGTCATCTACACAAATAGTTTACTTCATGTAGAAGATGCACCTTTCATCATAGCATCATTCAATGTAGACTTCATGTCTCGGGATATCAATGTGGCTATTTTCGTGTGAAGAACAGTAGTGTTTGACAAATGAATGCTATCAATACATGGGAACCACCTATAAATGCTAAGGGAACCTTCTTTGGCAACAGAAGTTATCATGCAGATGTGTCTTTCACCGTATGTTTTTGGACAGGAATTATCGTAAGTTGAAAGGTTATGCCTTAGTGGATTTAATAAATGTATCTGCACCAATTGGAACAGTATAATATAGGTTATGTGGATTCAATGTATAAAAGATACCTCTATTTATATTGTGCCATTGTCTGCTTAGCTGACTGCTAAGCTAGCAAATATAGGTAGTACTCGTGATTGTGGCGAATGCAGTGCATTGGAGAAAGCAATATCTCGTTTAATTTTCCTAACTGTTTCAGCTAGTGCATTAATTCAGTGTATAGTGACAATATACACATGCATTGTGTTGATTATGAGAACTAAATCTAGTTGGCTCTATTATTATCAACCTGCCGCTTGCTATACCACTCCCACTGACATTGCAAACTTAATGATGTGATGTTTTCGGTCACCAATAATAGAGATGAATTTCTCCTGAGATTTCCATTTACATGAAGCAGTACAGATGTGGCGTCACGATTGAATGTCTAAGTTGCATTATATGACATTGTTATCCTCATCAACACAACTGGTCTATGTATCTCACAATATTTTAATTATTTCTCTATGCTATTAACACTGTGCATAGTTGCTTAGAGTTGAGGCATGCTCAGCTTATATATGATGGCTACACATTCCTAAATATGAGAATGTAATCCCTGCAGGATTCATAAAACTATGCTCACTAGACATTACTGAGATTGTGGGTCAATTTCTAAGTTACACATTTGCACTAACTCACTTAATGTAGACGTATTTAGTGTGAAATTGATGAGAGAGAGACTGTTAGTTCCCTTGACCGTTGTATAATTGATGATAGTGATATAGAAATCAAGTCCGAAGTTAAGTATCTTTGAATAATTCTTTCTTCTGACCGACCCTGATCTTCCCGTGTTTCAGCGATTTCCAAAAGAATATTTCGTCTGACTTTTCACTTCAAGAGGTCAAGGCACTCAGTGATAACTCAACCCCTCCTCTCACAGTTTGTCAACTCGTGAATCTTACCTATTCTTCTTTACCATTCAACCTTAATCTTTCCATGGATTGCTTGAAAAATACTATGTCATTCTTTGTAGGACTCTGAAGACTGTCAGTAGGGCGAGTGGTCTCCCTTTGCGCCTTATCGTTGCAATTGTCATTGACGATGGGCGCTTAATTGTGGCAGACTGTGAGCATCCAATTTACTTACCCTCAGCTTTCACCTTGCGTCTCCTCACGTAAAACAAGAAGTCATTTCAAAAGATTGTATGCGTGCACGCCTCAGTATAAAACATTCATGATACCAAATTTGGTACGTATTTCATACGATGAAGGTAGTGTCAGAGACAAACTAACTATGTAGTGAGAGCAGCTTGCCAGTCGATTGGTTGACATTAATCTACGTCAATGTCTAGGTCACCAATATGGGCCGCGAGAAAATATGAACAAGGCTGTTTCAACAACCAATCACAGCAAACTTAAACGTGGCAAATATGATCCGCAGATAGATGGCTCAACTTTCCGAGGAACTCGAAAACAACCAATCAGAAGACTGCACTTGTCTACTTGAATAGGCTATAATAATGTATGCGAAATCTATATAAATACGTGTTGATATCCGTAAGGAAACGATCTGTTGCTTGGCCCTTGTCTTCTGTTGTTACAACTTACCTTAATTGCACCAGTGAATAAACCATTCTCCCCATCCTCATCCCATCAATCTTTACTCTCATTATTCCCGACTGTCTACGTCTTCTTATGGAGAGAATAACAAATCTATAAAAATTAAATTATATTTATAAAAATGTCAATTTTTGTAACTATCCTGTCAAATCTTGATCACAGCTCATATGAGAATATGTAGTAATTTATTGTAATTGAAATATTAGTATTTCGAGATGACCGAATTACTAGAATCCAAACAAAACCCAGAGAGGGCAGAAATCAGGAATTTGTATTTAGCGGAAGGGTGAGGATATATGTTATGACGTGTTATATTTTCCGCGACTCAGGTTTTTTCGTCTTTCATTGGCTAGAACGGTGGCGGTCAATTGGATATTTGATTTGTCCTTGGTAGGTCGTATCGTGTGAGGTTTTGTGTGGTTGTGTTATGCGCCGTTTGCAAGCAAATTTGACAAAGATAGATGTAATATTTGACTATTTTAACATTGTTTCACTGCTTTTTACACAGATACACTTCTCTTTTCGCTATGAACTCCCTGGAAACTGGTCAGGCATTATAGTTCTTATCAGTGACTACCATCCCGTGGGTGCCAATGCATTTCTTGAGTTGTGGTTATAGGAACAGTATTTCCTACTTCGTGATTTCTCACTCACATAGTCTGGTATCCTGTGTTTCTTGCGACTTAGCTGTCACAAGCTGTTGCAATAATGTGCTTTGTTAACGAGCCCTTTTTCTAGAATTTCATCGCAGGTAATCAGTGCGAGCGCAAGCAGCACATATGTAAGAAGTTACAAAAGCATTAGAAGACTTTCAAAAGGCGTGAACTTCATATATTGCTAACAGTGACGAACTTTTCCGCATACCAGTATGTGGATACGTTCACATGCGTATAGGAAATCCACGAGTGAGACATTGTATTTTAGTGGGACAGCTTTGTGAAACTTTCATCTAGCTTGTATGTTTCGCTCTAGTATTTTTGTCCCTCAGACCACTAACAAAGTATTATCAAATGTATTCTTGTAGTATGATTCGATGGCACAATTACTGGCAGTTAATAATGTTATGTATGCGTTATGTTCATGATATTTTCTGCACCATTAACGTGCTCCACATTTCAAAAAGAGTGTAACTTAGAAAGACTATACTTAACTCAACTGTGGTCATGCATGTTAATTATTTAAATGCTTAATTTATTCAAGTGAATTTAATCTGTATCACCTTTAGAAATGATAAGTCGCAATGAGGTCTGCCAGTTAATTAAATTCAGTGGAAGCAGATGTAGCTGCATTCGTACAAAGATATCCGAAAAACAGTGATGAGCGTCTTACGACTTATAACCAGATACATTTACATAATCAGTATTAGGAATTGATTCTACATGCAACAACAAGTGAAGGTAAGTTCACTCATTCATGTATAACCATGCAGATATTCTGTTTTGCAGTTTGTGATACCGGATAGCTTTGGATGTGGGGATAGAGTTCTGTTTACTTGAATTTTGGAAAAATTCAAAGGTGATGCACTTCGGACACTGGGCAGTTTCCGTCGAATAATAGGAGATACTTTGCAAACGAAGACTTTCATCTTTGACTGTGCTCAGATAATACACGTAAATAAACTGGTTTGCGTGGCAGTAAAATAAAATTTTCTATCTAATATTCTTGTGTTGTATTTGTTCTGCATACGGTGGGAATACGGCATGGTAGACCGGTACTCCCTAGGATATGAACTCGTTACTGTATATAGGTGTAATTCTGTAGGAACACTATCGATCGATATAAGTAGTGAATTATAAGTACTTTACTCAAGCCCAAAAATCTGCCTAAAGTTACGCGATTACGTCTCCTAGTCATAGGGCAGTCTGTAGGGACCAAGTACACAAATACTTCAGTATTTGAAAAATAAGAAATGAACTCGGGCACTGCAATTGAGTCGATTTCTTAAAAGGTGAAGTGTATTCAAAAGTAGTTCATTACCAATATTTCACTTAAAGCGTGATGTCGATTTATATGATTATGGGTGTTAACTTACAGTGTAAGGTGAAGTGTACAAGAGACGAATAATTGAATAGGTTGAGCTGTAGCAATCGTAGTCACACTTACATTACACTAAAATATGCCACCAATTACTTCGTCAGGTCTCATTGATAAGTCATGCCTGCATCTAGTCATCATGACAAATATAGCTACACTCAGATAGAACAAGAAAGGTCTGGTAAGCATGATGTTAAATATATTTTAATGAAAAATAATAACAAGCAAATGTCTTTACGCAGTTGTTTGTCGTAATAATTGGGGCAATGTTGAATCTCTGTGACCGGGTTGACTGACGTTACCGGATATCTGCAAATAAGTAAACAAAGTTTTTCTTTTAATTCGCTGAAGTAAGAAAGAAGTAATATTAAAGTTAAACGCTTTATATTTGCCTACCTTTGC